ATTTTTAGTGTTAGGTATTATCTGATGACATCCTACCACGGAGGATTAGGTTATGGTTCTCTTTCACCTCTCCCTAAACCCCACCCACCTACACACACATTTCCTCCTCATTCACACTGTGCTTTGTTATAATTTTGATGAAAGCAATATTCAGTGTTTAGTGTTTTCCCAGTTACAATAGCCAGAGTTGAACCATTTAATATTCCGTGAAATAACAAAATGAAAAATATTTTTCTCCTGGGAGTTAATGAATGTTTTACTTTGTTAGTCTGGTTTTCTATGTGTGTATCGCTTATCCTATCCCCACCTCTTGGAGTTGGGTAGATCTCCTCTCAATACATTTAAAAACAAGCCCTCTGGGGCGCCTGGGTGGCTCAGCTGTTAAGCGTCTGCCTTCGGCTCAGGTCACGGTCCCAGGACCCTGGGACCATGACCTGAGCCGAAGGCAGACACTTAACGACTGAGCCACCCGGGCGCCCCATGGCTTTGTTTCTTAACTGAAGCTCACATGTTTAGCTCTGACTGTGACTCAAGCTGGCCGGATCCATGGAGAGTTGTACTGTGGGACAGCTGCGTAGGGTTTTATCAGACACATCATTCCTGTGTTTAGAAAAATCATTTGCCAGCAAAAAATGCTTTATTTTGTCCTTGCTCCATTGTAGTAACTTTTATCGAACACTTAGTTTTTTATGAACATGAAAGAACACACAGTTGTACGCACCCCGGCTGCTGGTACCAGGATGACGGGCTGAACTGTGAAACACAGGCATTGCCTTCTGAGATACACAGAAGCATCGTGAAGTCACAGAGCGAAGCCACTCTGCGCCAGGCCTCGTGCCAAGGCTCCGGCAGGACACAGGACATGGTCCCTGGCCTCACGGAGCAGGCTGTGTCATGGAAAGTTTCCCAAACTCTCCAGCTCACGCTAAAATTCACAACCCCTCCCCCCGAATAAGACAGCGCACCAGCAAAAACTTCATTTTCCGTGAATTGGAATAGACTGTGATGAATAATTCTCAGGAGCCAGAAAAGCAGAGAGAAAGCAGGAGATGTGGGAGGGGGTCCCTTGCTATGACTGGGGCGTTCAGGGTATTTTCAGGGTGCCCCGAGGCGGCGCCCCAGAGCCATGACTCCCAGAAGGCAGCAGAGGGTCCGGGCAGGGTACCTGGGACAGAGGCATTCGGGGGCTCTAAACAGAATGTGTGTACAGCCCTGGGGTCTTTTCGCTGGGTGGGGGCTGAGCCCTGGTCTCTGTTCACCTAGCCCTGCCCGCCAGCGGCTGTGTACACGTGTCCTCATGGGTCAGACTCACGGTCACCCTCAGTGTGCACGCGTCTCTTCCCCGCCGCGGGTACCGCTGATACGTGCGCAGTGGGAGAGCCGCCCGAGAGCTGCCCCCTCACACAGAATCATCGTCCGATACGGATGGGAGGAAGTTAGGTCTTCTTTAGTCTTTGGAAAAGGAAAGATGTGGCCTGCAGTCATGGCAGGTAACTTGTGCACTTGTTGTCTTGTAGGTCTCCAGGGTTCTCGGAGCAACCCCTCCATCCAGGCCACGCTCAATAAGACTGCACTCTCCTCCTCCCTGAACAGCCACCCGCAGACGTCCGCCCCCAGCGCCTCTGCTCTTCACCCTTCCCTCCGGCTCTTCTCCCTCAGCAACCCGTCTCTGTCCACCACAGCCCTGAGCGGCCCCTCCCGGCGGAGGCAGCCTCCCGTCAGCCCGCTCACGCTCTCTCCCGGCCCCGAAGCGCAGCAGGGTTTCAGCAGACAGCTCTCGGCCACCAGCCCTCTGAACCCCTATCCTGCGGCGCAGGTGAGAGCAAACCCACAGTCCGACAGGGGGAGGCGCGTGGGGCCTGGATTGGGCCCCCCTCAGCTGGTGTAGTCCCCGAGGTCTCCCGTGAGACCGGAGGGAGCAAGTGGGAATAACTCAGGAAGCCCTTGTCCTCACCGCACGTTTGTGGTGATGATCGCCGTTGCGCAAACAACACAATCTGTAGTCACTAACTCACAAACCTTGCGGTTGGGGGCCAGGGAGGGCGTAGAGAGCACGATCCAGACGCATCTAAGGTGGCTGGGGGGTGACCAGGCTGGGGCTTTAAAATTGGTGTGGAAAATTATCAATAACTGAGTCTGTAAGTATTTTAAGCCACAGGGGAAAGCCAAAGAAGACATTTAATGCCTTCCTGAAGCTTTGGTATTGGATTAGACCTCTTCCCTAACTACGCCTACAGATTTGAGAAGCAGTACTTTTATTGCTCATGAAGTGATAGGGGCATAATAAGGATCAGGGTCCTCCATAAAAGGACCTAAATAAGTCTGTTTAGAAAGAGGCACATTTGGGGGCACCTGGCTGGCTCAGTGGGTAGAGCGTGTGGCTCTTGATCTTGGGGTCATGCGTTCAAGCCCCATGTTGGGTATAGAGATGAAAGAGTAAAATAAAACCAAGAATTAAAAAGAAAGAAAGAGGCACATTTTGAAGTCACAAGCCCAAAACATCATATTTTGTCTTCCTGACTTTGTTTTTATTCTGAGCTCTTGGGGTGGCTCTTACCATAATCATCAGTGAATATATTTTCAACCTATTGGTCCCTCCCTAGATACATTGTGACATCATTTACTCCCCACCTCACCATAAATGAGTCATGATTTAGCAAGCAAGAGTTGATAGAACACAACGGAAGGAGTTAGCAGATCCAGTTATTAGTCACTCTTAACATGAGTAATCCCTTTCGGGAGACGGTGAGAGGGTATTTCATAATTGTTTTTTTAATGGTTCTTTTTAATGTTATTGGATTGCCTTCAATTCTCTTTTGTAAGATTATTTTATAGGATGTAAAAAATACTACTCTTGCTTTCTGGCTACATTTTCAGGAGAGCTGTAGGCATAGAGAGCATCCTTTTCCAGATGTTTCCATTTTTTTGTTTGCTTAATTACTAAGATTTAAAAAAAAAAAATCAGTGTTATCCATGCACATAGTTTAATAAGTCAGATAGTTCTAAAGGGCTTGTTATGAAACAACATTGTCTTCCCCTCCCCGACTCACCATATTTCTCACTCCCTAGAGATGGCTTCTTTCAACCACTTTAATCTCTTTGGTATATCCATGTTATTTCATGCTTGTTTTGTTCTGGATTTTTAGTGTTAGGTATTATCTGATGACATCCTACCACGGAGGATTAGGTTATGGTTCTCTTTCACCTCTCCCTAAACCCCACCCACCTACACACACATTTCCTCCTCATTCACACTGTGCTTTGTTATAATTTTGATGAAAGCAATATTCAGTGTTTAGTGTTTTCCCAGTTACAATAGCCAGAGTTGAACCATTTAATATTCCGTGAAATAACAAAATGAAAAATATTTTTCTCCTGGGAGTTAATGAATGTTTTACTTTGTTAGTCTGGTTTTCTATGTGTGTATCGCTTATCCTATCCCCACCTCTTGGAGTTGGGTAGATCTCCTCTCAATACATTTAAAAACAAGCCCTCTGGGGCGCCTGGGTGGCTCAGCTGTTAAGCGTCTGCCTTCGGCTCAGGTCACGGTCCCAGGACCCTGGGATCGAGCCCTGCATCGGGCTCCCTGCTCCGCGGGAAGCCTGCTTCTCCCTCTCCCACTCCCCCTGCTTGTGTTCCCTCTCTCGCTGTCTCTCTCTCTGTCAAATAAATAAATAAAAAATCTTTAAAAAAAAAAAAAAACAAAAAACAAGCCCTCCATGGGCACCTGGATGGCTCAGTTGGTTAAGCATCTGGCTTCAGCTCAGGTTATGATCCCAGGGTCGTGGGATCAAGCCCCGTGTAGCATTGGACTCCACGCTCAGCGGGGAGTCTGCTTCTCCCTCTCCGTCTGCCCGTGTGCTCTCTCTCTGTCAAATAAATAAATAGAATCTTTAAAAGAAAACAAAACAAGGGGGAAAAAAAAAAAGCCCTCCAGTAGATTTCCAACAAAGAGTGCATGTGGCCTGGCATGACTCAACTATGTCTTCCTTCTACCCATCATATAATTCATAATTGGCCAGACACAGAATTCAAATCTGAAATAATTTTCTCTTATTTTGAAGGTCTTAATTCTTTGCCTTTTAGTTTCTAGAGTTGCTACTAAGAAATCCAGTGCCATTCCAATTTTTAATACTTTGAACAAAATGTACTTTTTTCCCTCTGGAGGCTTGTAGGATCTTTTTTTTGTTCCCCAGAGTTCCGAAACTTCAGGATCACATGAGTCTGGATGTTTGGTGGGTTTCCTCCATCTGGAAACTCCTGTCATCCTTCATTTCTGGGAAATCTTCGTTAATTACTTCCTGGATGGTTTCTTCCCTTTGATTTCTCTGTGCTCTCTTTCTGGAACTCCTATTGTGTGAACGTTGGACTGCCTGTACATTTCCTCTCATACCCTATTTTTTCCATTCTTCTCTTTTCTCTCCTCATCTTTTTCCACCCTGCTTTCTGGGAGAGCTTCTCACCTTTTTATCATCCTGCTGTTATGTCGAGTTTTCCTTTCTGCTCTCATACTTTTAAATCGCCAAGAATTCTCTTTTATCCTCCAAATGAGTTGTTCCTTTTTACAGCACTGTACTCCTCCTATGGATGCAGTATCATTTTTTCATCTCTCTGAGGTTTTCAGGGGTAATTTTCATTCTGGTTTCTTTTTATTTTTTTGCAACAAGTTTTCCAAGTTGCATAAAAGTAGAGAATATGACGGAATGAATCTTTCTATACCTGTCATCCAGCCTCCACAATTACCATTTTTTTAAAGATTTTTTTTATTTATTTGAGAGAGAGAGAGAGCATGAGCAGGGTGAAGGGCAGAGGGAGAAGCAGACTCCTCGCTGAGCAGGGAGCCTGATGCGGGACTCGATCCCAGGACTCCAGGATCATGGCCTGAGCCGAAGGCAGACACTTAACGACTGAGCCACCCAGGCGCCCACAATTATCAATCATCATTTTTGTAATCTTATTTCATCCACATCCCTACTTTGAAAAAATATGTATATAGAGATACACATTGCAAATATTTTATTATGTATTTTTAACAGATAAGGATTTGTTATAGACTAAATAGTATAATGATAAGTTTGATTTTTTAAAAAGATTATTTATTTATTTATTTATTTATTTTTGTGAGAGAGAGAAAGCATGAGCGGGGGGGCGGGGAGAGGGAGAAGCAGACTCCCCACTGAGCAGGGAGCCAGATGCAGGACTCGATCCCAGGACACTGGGACCACGACCTAAGCTGAAAGCTTAACCTACTGAGCCACCCAGGGACCTGATAATTTTGCTCTTCATGACGACTTCTTCCTGCACAGACTTCTCCAAGTTTCTTTTCTTTGTACATCTGCCTTGGTCTCTGATTTCTCTGCAGATGCTTTCCTCACAGTCTGGTGATCTTTGGTGCTCCGCTCATCTTTAAGAACAGGACACAGAAACACTACGTAGACGGGTGGGCTTGTTGAGCATGGTCCTCACTGTAGACTGATCCAGCTCGGCCCTTTCCCTGGGGAGCCTCTGGTGCCCCGAGTTTCAGAGTTGTCTCTCGGGCTGGTCAGATCCCCAGAGGACACTGGCGCATACCTAGACTCCAGCCTCCTGCGAGTCAGGTTGGGAAAGAAAGGTGGAGGCCTCAGGATTCAGTGGTGAGCTCTGTTGCACCCTGCGTTTCCAGTGAAGCGCCTCACCCGCTGGGCTTTGCCGTGTCCTGCCCGCAGACCCTCAGCTCTGCCCCCTTGCCGCCCCCAGGCTCGCCACGGGCAAGGGCTGTGAAGCCTCACCGCACCTCCTCCCGGCTCTTCGGCCCGCCCTTGTCCACCCCGGGCCGGGGAGTCCGGTTGCCTCTTGGTTTACCCCCCAGCCTCCTCTTGTCTTTCCCAGCTCCAGTCACCCAGCCACGGCGTGGCCGTTGCTTTTCATTTTCCAAACCGTGCTGCCACTGTCTTCCTTCCCATGATCTCTGTCTGTCCTTGTGCTGTTTATTATCATTTTAGTCTTACTTATTTTCAAAGTGTTGTTCATTAATATCTCCTGTTGTTTAATGTTGTTTTAGTTGTTTTTAATCGAGGTTTGGGAGACAGTAGAGCTTCACTAAATTCTTTTTTTTTCTTCAGTCTTCCATCTTAAACCAGACGTTAATGGCTTTAAAAAAACAAACATGATTTTCACGGAGGTCACTGGCTAAATTGACGGGTGTTTTTGTTTTGTTTTTTTTAAGACAATAGAAATTGTCATTGAATGGGAAATGTCTGGTGAGGAAGTGAGATTTAAGATCACTTCGAAAGAGCAGAAGTAAGAAGTAGGCTTCAGGGAGCATCGCACGGAGTACCCCGGGGAAGAAGGGCTCAGGCTTTTCCCCTCACTTTGACACCTCCTAATCTTAAAGGACTTACCACTTAGAAACGCCAGTCGAAGCTGATTAGTGGCTTTGTTTTACAGATGGTGTCCTCAGATCGAAGCCCACTTTCCTTCCTGCCCACAGAAGCTCAAGCTCAAGTGTCCCCGCCACCCCCCTACCCTGCCCCCCGGGACCTCTCCCAGCCCCTCCTACAGCAGCCGCCTGGCCAGGAGCCTCCTGCTCAGCAGCCCCAGGCCGCCTCATCCCTGCCTCCGTCCGGCTTCCCGCTCCTCACGGCCCAGGTGGGTCCTAGCGGGGACCCCGGTCACAAGGGAACACTTACTTGCCCCAAGTTCCGAGCTAAACGGTCCCTTCCTTATTCCCTGAAGGGTTCATCTTTGACCAGCTTCTTCCCAGATGTGAGCTTTGACCAGCAGTCCATGAGGCCAGGCCCAGCCTTCCCTCAACAGGTGAGCGAACATGCAGGCAGACCTCTTCCTCGGGGCAGGACTTGCACGGTTCAGGCTGCCCAGGGCGTAGAACCCACCACACCAAATAGATTAGGTACCCCATCGCCCAGATTTCAGATGTGCTCAGCAGCTAAGGGAGCCTGCAGTCTCCCCTAGCCCTAAAGTGCCGGGGCTGGCTGCCTTGTTTGGTGTCAGGCCTCTGCAGAGGAACTCTTTGAACAAGTGGTAGAAGATTTCTGAGGACGGTCTAGTTCTAGAACTGTGGAATGGCTCAGAGCGAAGGGACCACCACAGTCCACTGGTGTGTCCTGCGGAGGTCCCTGAGACACAGGAGGGGTTGGGCCCACAGGCCTGGCTGCCGGAGCCGGCCCAGTGTGTCTTCCCAGGGGAGCTTGGTCCAGCCGGGGCCCGACGTCCCTCCCTCAGGTATTTTCATTCAACCCCTTCCTTTGGCTTTTTAGGTTCTCCCTAACGTGGACCATTTAAAATACCTCTAGATGTTATAGTGTCCATTGAGTATGGATTGGGCTCTAGGATGGGTTAGGGAGGGAAGGAAGGAGTTTGAGCATTTTACAGATCTTAATAATAATTACAACAGTAAAAGAAAGAAAGACAGATGTTTCCTGAGTGGGCCACGGTGAAGACTCATGGCACAAACCAGTAGTCCCTGCCTCTCATTTTCTGAAGAAGTCCGTTGAGTTTAGATGAGTCAGTATCTCCCTGAAAGATGATAGAAATGCCTACTTTTGAAAGATTAAAAGAAATAGTTTGGAGTGTTAATTTCTGGAAAGGCACCTAAGATAGGCCGCAGTTCTCACCAGTCTTCCCAGAGGCCGTCTCACGGAGAGGGGACTGCCTGAGGTTCCGCCCTCTGAGCGTAAGAAGGAAAGGGTCGCCCCGCCTCATTTTTCTAGAAACCAAAGGGCAAAAGAGCCCCCTGGTCATGGCACTTCCTTGGTTACAGAAGGAGCCTTCGAAGGGTTCCCACGGACGGTGTTTCCAAAGGCCTCGGTGTGGCTGGGAAGGAGGGGCGTGTGGGACCAGAGGGGCCACAGAGACCGCGACCGTCGGTGTCTCTTCAGATGGTTTGGTGGGCCGGGCTGTGTGTGAGTGGGGACGAGTCGCCCGCACCGTGGGCCCCGGGGAGCCCTCCTCCACCCCGGCACCTGCCTGAGAGGAATATTCTGTGTGGGATCGATCCTAGAGAGAAGGGACCCAAGACAGTCCCGTGCAGGTTGCATTCTTCACTCCTCGAGAGCAGAGATCGTTCCTCACGGTGTGACCTCTGATGCTTCCAGGTGCCTCTGGTGCAGCAAGGTCTCCGAGAACCGCAGGACCCATTTCATCTGAGACCAAACCTGTATTCCAACTGCGGGGGTTTCCCCAACACCATCCTGACAGGTGAGTGTGGGCCACTCCTCAGCTCTACTGTACTGTTTGTATTTTGCTGCATTTTTACAGATGCCATTGTAAGAGAGTTTAAACATCAGGGGCGCCTGGGTGGCTCAGTTGGTTTAGCGACTGCCTTTGGCTCAGGTCATGATCCTGGAGTCCCGGGATCGGGTCCCGCATCGGGCTCCCTGCTCGGTGGGGAGTCTGCTTCTCTCTCTGACCATCCCCCCTCTCATGTGCTCTCTATCTCATTCTCTCTCTCAAATAAATAAATAAAAAAAATCTTTAAAAAAAAAAAAGAGAGAGTTTAAACATCATATAAAGCAAAGAAATGAAAGTCCCCCGGCTCAACTTTAGCCTTTCAAAAGGCAGGCGATCCCTGTCCTGGCCGGGACCCCGGGAGTGGGGGGGACGCGGGCCGTCGCTGTCCCGGCTGGAAGATGACAGTGCCGGCGTTTGTGGGGATGTCGTCTGTTGTACATGCCTCCTAACCTGCACCGTTTTCCCCTCTTGCTGCTCCTTCCAGAAGACTCGAGTACCAGCCTGTTCAAAGACCTCAGCAGTGCGCTGGTGGGCATGCCCGAGGTCGGCCTGAACATGGACACTCCATTTCCATTGGAAGAAGAGCTCCAGATTGAACCCCTGAGCCTGGACGGACTCAACATGTTAAGTGACTCCAGCATGGGCCTGCTTGACCCCTCTGTGGAAGAGACGTTTCGAGCCGACCGACTGTGAGCAGAATGGAATGGGCCAGGAGCGTTTACTGCTGAAGGAGCGGTGCTAGAATGGCAGGGCACGGAGCCAGCTACACCCCCGGGGCTTGAGTGATCTCGGGCTTCTGACACGGAAGGAGCCAAGGCCGTGACTCCCAGCTCTCCGACGAGGCCCCATCTCACACCCCGTGGCTCACTGCCGACAGCGGAGCTGTGCCCTGGCCCTCGGGCAAGCGGGCTGCTTTCGGAGCTTCCGATGACTCCCTCGTCACCGGGACCAGTACACCCTTTCCTTGGCCGTCTAGTCCGTCGATGTGTAAAAGTAGAGCAGAGCCGTGGAACAGGCCGCGGTAGTGTTGTGAGGCGCTCAGAACCACTGATCTTAGTCCACACTGAAGAGAGGGCCTGGCCTGCGAGGCAGGGAGGGGCTGCAGGCCTTCGGGAGTTGGCTCAGCTTCGAGCAGCGGTACCACAGCACCACGGTGCGTCCTCCGCTGCCGCCGGCCTGGCTCGGCAGCTGCCCGCCGCTGACCACACGTGCCAGGATCGCCCAGGTGCCTTAATTCCAGTATGAAGAATTTTTGCCACGATTTCAAGAACTGATTTGAGTTAAGCAAACTGAATGCTCATTTGTTTTCTCCAAGTTATGTAATCTCCTTTCTGCTGCTTCAGTACACCTTTTCCTGTGGACGAGGGGAAAGGAGGACCGTTTTATTCAGTCACTGAAAAAAAAAAACCAGTCCCCCGGTGATGGACGAGCCTGAAGAGAAAAGGGCTTCCTCTCGATGAGGGGCGGGGCGGGTGGGGTGGGAAGAGAGGAAGGCGGTAGGTTTCTCGCAGACCCACGATGTCTTCCACGTGAGCTCCAGACCAGCGCAGGCCTCCCTCCCCACGGGCCGGCTGCAGGGATGCTGGGGTCCGGGAGCGGCAGGGGGAGCTGTTTCTCTGTGCAGCAGGAGTGTTCATGTAGCCCCGCTAGACCGGAAGCTCCTTGAGCGCAGGGACTGTGCCTTATTCGCTACCAAACCCCAAGCACCTAACAAGTGCGGGCACTGGATAGGTGCTGTGTTACTGCGCCCTGAAGGCGTGAATGAACAAACGGAGAAATGAATGAATGAATCTGCCTGGCTGCAAGGCAGTCTCATCTTTAGCTAGCCCCATTCCTTGCCAAATCTCAGAGCTTTAGCTTTTCTAACACTTGTGCCTGTGGTTAAGCTAGGCATGCACTTTAATATGCTTCTAACACTAGGTGACCAACTCCACGGTGAGACCGGGCCCCCGTCTCCTCAAGGGCATGCTCTACAACAGGCGGGTGGAAACTGTCTTCTGAGTGCATCCAGAATGGCTGGGCACACTGAGGCCTCGGGGCTCCCAGCCAGGCCCCCACCTCAAAAGATCTTCCCTTTCAGATCTGTGTTTTGCTCTAAATTGCTTTTAAAAGAGATTCGTTCTTTGAGGTTGAAGAAAACATCCACAGTAAAATGAAGGCCTAATTCACGAAGCCATCATTAGTCATTATTAGTGCCTTAGCGTAAAATAGTACGATTGGATTCCCACCACTGCTTGTCTCCTCTCACTTAGCCCCTGACCGGACACCTGCTGGGTGGGTTCGAAGAGCACCTCTGGGGAGGGGTCTGGGCAGTGGGGCAGGATGTTGGGCACGGGGAGGACAGGAGCGCTCGAGGAGAGATGAAAGATGCTGGAACTTTTGCCCAGACAGCCACTGCCCTTCCAGAAGACACCAGGAGTGTGGCTGAAGGTCACTAGGCTCCCCTGCCCAAAGAAGCAGGGCTCTACCGCACAGGTCTGAATCAGACGCGACGGCGCCGCACAGCAAGAAGAGTCTGGAACGGGATTCTGGGCTGTTAACCTCTCCAGGCCTCGTCCCATTCCCGTCTCCAGAGGGATCACTTTATCTCCAGTCTCCCAAAGAACCCCGATGGCACACCACTGCAGCTTCCTCTGGGGCCCAAGTCCTCAGCCTCACAGTAGCCCCGAATCTCTGCTGTTGAATCCAGCCGGGGTCCTCGCCTGAGCTCCAAGCCCTGGTCCCAGTGAAATTTTCAAAACCCTTTATCCTGAGGATCTCGGGAGGGGCGTGACTCGTTCAAGTACAAGCCCTTTCCTTGCGGTGGTACACAGCTCCCCGGTGTGCCAAAAGAAGTCAGCTAGCTCCATGCTGCCTTTCCTGGGTCGGAGGCCCCCCGCAAATCTGACCTGGCCTTTCACACAGGGAATGGTGCTGATGTTAGGAGTTTGGTTTTTTGTTTTGTTTTGTTTTGTTTTTCAAGTGGCGGTCTCAGCATAACCCACTTGTTGCGCAGTGCCTTACCCGGGGTGGGGGTCCAGCTCTGTCTGCACAGCAGTCCTGCTTACAGCAGGGGGCCCGGGACCTACGTGATGAAGTACGCTGCCCCCGGGGCAGTCTCCCGGTGACTCGTGGAAATGGAGGCTCCCAGGAGCAGTGACTTGTCCAGGGGGATTATAATGATGACAATAAGGTTTAGCACTGAATTAAATCTGTCCTTAGGTCCACCAGTCCAGTCTTTTCCTGTGAAAAGGTTTTGGGCATTATCCAACCCACTTTGCTTACATGGCGTCAAGGACACCCGTGGGCAGGTGTCACTCTGACCTCCAGCGGGTAAGTCTGCCTTCACGGCTACCTTTGCAACAAACCAGGCGTGGTCCTCGGCATCTGAAGCGGCTACATGCATCAGAATAAATGATCTTCCGCTATTTAGTCTCGTTACAGGAAATCGACGGCTGCACCACCCTCATTTACTAGCAGTTAAACAGTATAGAACTGAAAACCTATCTGTGTTCCATTTTTTCTTTCTGTACGGTTGTGGTTTTTAGGACACACAGTGTTAGGAGAAAATTTTTCTGATCACGCCAAGACCACCATAAATTCTCCTCTGTCCTGTTTCATTTCTCCCCAGTCTACTGTATATTAGCCGAGCTGAAGCCCTGTGTATTCCAGCCCATCCGCATATCTGAAGATGTTTCCGACTCTCTCTCCTTGGCTCTGTTACGCACAGGTGGTTCCTTCGCTCCGCGGTGGGACCATCAGAGCAACTAATCAGACTTCCCGCCAGTGTCCTAACTCCCAGGTCCCTTGTTAAAAAAATATTTAAAGATTGGAATTTGTATAAAGTAGCTTCCAAGTTTTATAATACGTCGTTTTACATCTTTCGTAATTAAAAGCAGCACAATAAGGTCGTATCTGCCCTTGGTGTTTTTCTTCAGCCTCCGGAGAGAGGAAGCGGTGGAAAGCCGTCCCCCTTCCCCCGCACGGCAGCGCAGCTTGGCCTGCAGGCAGGCTTCCTGGGCCTTGGCTTCGGCAGCTCCCGCCCCGGCCCACTGTCAAGTGTTGTTAATACACGCGCTGTCGGGCCCGCACCCAAGAGACTGGAGAAGGACATTGGGGCGCAGAGTTCCTTCAAAGCCAGGGAGACCCAGGACAGAGGGCAGCCTGGCAGCGCCTCACTCCCTGCCACCCACTGGCGGGCCCCCTTCCAGACCCCCGCTCCGGCCCTCACCTCACACGCCTCCCCTTTTGAGGTCCAGGCCACGGGGGTGCCTTCCCCAGCGCCCCGCTCTTGTGTACCGGCCTCCAGCCGTCCCCTCTTCACCTCGGGCTTTGGCTCTGTTTTCTGCCCCAGCCCTGCCCCCCCCCCCCCCGCACACCACGGCAGGGTTCCCAGGCCCCTCCCCGCCCTGCCCCCCAACAGCCGTGCTTCCTTCAGACCCACCAGCCACACCCAGGATTGTCACAAAGGTGGCTGTTCCAGCATCTTACTCAGAAATCCCATCTTTGGCCCCAACTTCCTGAGCCACCATGTCTACTCCGGTCCGCACACACCCTGTTCTTCGACCCCACACAGAGTTCTCTCCCTGGTCCCTGCTCTCAGCCTCCCTGTCGTCTCCTGGCTTCCCTCCCTGGCCTGGCCTAGTCCACTGGGCCAGTGGCCTCCACGAACATGGTCACAGCCCTCCTCCGACCCTCTGCCTTCCCCTGCTGGGAGCTCCGCGGGAGGAAACCAGCAACCCCAGGCCTGCTGACCTGACCCTCTCCTGCCACGTGGGGTGCTCCAGACCTTTCCTCTCCAGAAGCCTCCGGTTCTCTCCTCAGGCCCAGAAATTCCTCACTCACCACGGCTGTGACTGACCCACTCTCCCTGTGAGGACGCCCTGCCTACCCCTGACCTCATCCCTCTCCGCGGTCCTCCCCATCAGCCCGCTCTCCGCGGTCCTCCCCATCAGCCCACACATACGCCTTGTCGCCTCCTTGCTAAGAACAAACAGAAGCAAACAAGCCTCCCTCAACCCGGCTTCTCCTTGGACCACAACCTTGTCTGCTTCCCCTCCTGAAAGAGTTGCTCGTGTTCCACTCATTCCCTGCTCTTCGCATCCACAGCCCCGGCTGCAAACCCCTCTGCCCGACCCACCCCCGTGGGCCCCTCCAGTCCCTCTCCTCCTGGCCCTTCCCTGACCCTTCCCTGACCCTCGAGCCCTGTGGCCACTCACTTTCCGCTCCTTGGCTCCAGTAAACCCCCTTCTTGTTCCCTCGGGTCACACATCCATCTCCTCTGCGTACCCTCCTCATTTTCTTCGGATCAACTGTCCAGTCCTCCAAGCTGACGACCCTCACCTTCAGCCTCCTACCCCATCTGCCTGTTAGCTCAGGTTCGCCCGCACTCCATCCCATGTCGCCTGCTGCCCTTGTCCTTTGTAGATCTCTGTGCACCAGCAGGCGCTCAGAATCAGCCTTCGACACCCACCTGCCCCACGGGGCTCTAGCCCGCGAGGACAGGGGCCATGCCCGCGCACTTGAAGTCTGTATCTCCGAGCCTGGCATGTAGGCGCTCAGTGAATATTCTCGAACTGCCCACTCCTGCGTGCTCCCTCTCAGACCACAGCCTCCACCCTGACACAAAAGCTGTGGACGTGAGCCAGCCTGCACCCTCGTCCCCCTTCACTGCTCAGAGCCAGCCTGAGTCCCAGGGCTGTCTCAGCCCCCATTCCCTCTCTGCTCAGCCTGGCA